TAGATAGCTTGAAAATGGATTAATTAATTTGAAAATTCCATAGTAAGTTATTGAAATGTCATAAATATTTCACTTAGTTAATAATTAGATAGTATTATGTATACCCACTATTAAACTAATTTAATTGAAATATTGAAATATTTTAAAATTTATTTAATAATAAAGTGCCTGAATTTAGTGGAAAAATTCAAGGACTAATTTCCGCTATAATATTTTATTCTAATTTTATTTAATATTTTTTTATCATATTTTGCGTCATAACGCCTCGTCCAGGCATCCATTTGCTCTACATCGACTAATTTCATATTAAAATAAATTCCATTATGTGATTATTATGTACCTTTTATACCTGAATTTGAACGATAATGCTTAAATCATATTTTACAATTTTTTTCTATTCTTTATGGTACAAACTACAAATACTATAATATAATATAATTATTATCATGCAATTTTGATTTTATAATGAATTCATACTTGCGTTATGACGATAAGAACTATAAGTAGTTGAATATGTCCCCTGGCCACCCATTAATCCGGGCTTGTTAATTGAAATTCTAACTCATGGGTACTGACATTTTATAGAAACTATAATATTGTAAAAAAATTTTATCAACGAATGTATATTGTATATTGTATAGGTAATATATACTTTACAATGACATAACCAGTTACTGTTATGCTATCAATAGATAATATAGACATTCGAAATATTCGTCATTTTAGGTTATTTTTTCGATTTATATGTTAATAGGTAACATTTTATTTTTTAATCAAAAAGGATGGGAATTTATTAAAAATGTCGTCATAAGTTGTTCTTATAGCAGCAGTGATACAGTATCAAAAATACATAACTTTTTTTTTCTTTATTAGAAGACAAGAATATAGGTGTACAATCTTTAACAAATTTATACAACAGGTAATATGGTGGGGGGGGGGGATAAAAGTATACAGGACTGGACGGCGTGATGTAAGTGATTTTTTTTAAATATTAAGGAGATTCTTGGGCCAATTCCATTTAATACGGCGAAATACATACATAGACATAATTTATTTTTAGAAGTCAAATTTTGACAAAATTGGATATTTAAACGAAAGTTATTTAGTTGTTATTAGAAAAAATATTAATCAATGACACTTGAAACTTTCCTACATTACATATCTTATATAGGTAAACAATACACATACTATACAATATATTTCATTAATATTTAGACTAGTTTTAATCCCATTAAACGCAGCTATTATTATTACTTAATTAACGGTTTTATAGTGATATTATAGCTTATTGTGTAGGTTTATTATACAGCTATATTATAATTTATAACCTATTCACATAATTCTAAGGTACCTGCGTCTGTATTGGCTTGTAAGTTATATATCATTATATTACGTCATTTTTTTGGAAAAAATTAGATCAATTTACATAATAATAATACAAAATGAACGATATACTTAAATTGTTAACTATCCTTAGAAATATATGCAGCTGATCCGCACCAAGGATACGTGTTTTCGTATACATAATAATAATTTAGTTTTAAATTTAACACATTCATTACAGTATGGCCTACTCAAATATGAGGCACACTCAAAACCTATTATACAACAGTAGCAAGTTCCTTGATTTTTCGAATTAACACTGCGGGTTACATTTAAATCGTTCCCAATTAAATTTTAACAGTATAAATCTAAAATTATTCAATTAACGTACGAACATATAGGTAATAATTAATGAGTTAATTTAATTTAGTCAAATGTTGACAACATAGTAAAATATGTACACATTTATCTACGTATACATCCAATTTATTTACTGCAGTATACTGTTCAAATTAATACTCATTTTCAAACATAATTTTTAAAGTTCGATTTTATTTTTAATACCTACTTTGTTAATACTATAGGTACTTAAAATACAATATTGTATGAACAAATAATTTATATTATGTATGTAAAAATAGAGTTCATTCGGTATAAAACTTTGTAATCACAGTTAAAAAAAAACACTTAAATAAAATTATATAGTTCATAATATTGTTTGTTCTATTAAATTAAACCAGGTTTTTGATTTAGGTACATTTATACAATATATTATATTTAAATAATAAATAAATCTGTTTATAAATTGACTTTAGGTAACGCAACGAATTTTGTAGATCACGGTATCGTAAGACAGAAAATTAACTCGGCTACACTCTCTATTTTTTCTTTTTCTTTTTATTTATTCTTCAAGTAGGTAATGGGCCCCACTGAACATGTTCGTATTATTATGTTAGTATTATTTATTACTATAAATTTAGATTGGATGTTTCGATTATTTGTATTGATCTTCTTAACAACTCGGCAGCAAAGGCCATTAGTTCACATATCTTAATTACTATTTCAATTATATACATTATGTTCTTATATTAGAAATACAATTACATTTTATAGATTAAATTAGTAACTAGTAAGTTTTAGAAATTCGAGATTTTTCGGTTCTGATCTAGGTTTGGACCTAGGGTTGCGTCGAGGGTTTCGGTCAAGTGGAGGTCCATTCGCTCCTGATCGTGAATATGGTATTCTGTCAAGATATGTTTGACGGTGAGACGTTGACCACAGGCTGGGAGATTTGTTTTTTGACATGAGATAACCATAGGTTAGCCTAGTGTGTCCGATTCTTAAACGATTTAGAGTGGTTTTTTTCTATCGAGGATGAGATTATTTCAATTATTTAAGTATACATTTTATCTACATATGACGAATGTATTTCGTAACGACTATTTAAATGTTTTGAGTACTGTCGTCTAAAAGTATGAAATAAGCAAAACCATATTTTTTGAATATTATGAATATTCATCGATTGCGACAAGGGACAACAACAATAATTAAAATGTGTATCAACTTCAAACCAGAATAGGATAATAATGTTCAATAGAACTCCAAGTTTTGAACGAGATTGCATATATACGATATAGGTACCTACTTACTTGGGTACTAATATTATCGTCCTGTTTCTATTATGCCCTATATATTTGACGTATCTTATAATAAGACACGAGTCCAATTGCGTCCGCAGGAATTTGTTAAGGGGAGGGCAAAATATTTTTCTTTTTATATTTTTTGTCTCACTATCCTATTAGTTATAAAGTATTTTTGTGTCATATTTTCTTTCATATAGACAAGGAATGTAAAACTATTTATGAATTATACGTAAGTACGTAGTTATTTAAAACTTAATCTTACAGCATAATTTTAATTAATTGTTATGTAATTTTAAATTATCAAATATATTAAACATAAGGAAATTATTTTTATTATTTGGATAGTAATAGATACAATATCATGATAAATGATAATGTAATTACATTATTCGATCTCCTTAAACTAGACAGCTGCGGTGTAATTGTCTCTCGGTGTGAGTGATGTTACCACTGCTAGTTGTGAGAACCATAAAACACCATCCGAAAGGCGAAAACGTTTCGTGCGCTGTCATAAAATCTTTGTTTTTTTTCCAAATAATACACGTCCGTCTGAAATCTTTGTAAAACGATTTCGGCTTCGACGCATGTTCTACACCTAATAACTATTGCCTATCGATAATTCTTGAAAACATTTCACATAAATAATGCTCGCTTCACGTTCCTTGGGTTTGTATATTTTGTACAAATTATAATGATATTATATTAACGGTGTGTCGGTTCAGTGTAGTAAAGGTAGATAGTCTTATAAGGAATCTCGTATTACATTTTAAAACTTTAGATTTAAAAAGAAAAAAATTTACAAATTCTTACCTCAAAATAATTTGCTAATGTTCGTGATTTTTCCATATTTTGTCAATTTTTGAACTTTAAATGCTTATAAAAAAAAAACTATGACTAAGGATTTTTAATATTTTTCATCGCCCTTTGAAATAATATACTAGGAGCCTTCTATTACATTTTAGGTCTTTTTAACCGACAAATAAAATGTTATTGATATATTTAGAAAAAAAACTAAAAAGAAATGGAAACTGAAAATGTCTTTAAAGAGCTCAAAATAAGTCAAAATATTTGGAAAATGTTATGGTGTATAGAAAATGCTAATATAAACATTTAGTCAACATTTCATGTACACACGGGAATTTGTTTAAGAGTTGCACCAAAAACCAAAATCGATTTTCTAGAAAACAGAATTTGCTTAAAAATTCCCGTTTTTCCTTAATTTTTCTTTTGTTTTTTAAGGCGCTTTTAAAAACTACTGGGAAATTTTTAATTTTGACCCCCCAAAGTACCAACTAGATCTACTTTCCTATCAGAAAAAATACAGTTGAACAAAATCCAAGCTTTTACTGTAATAAAAGGTGATGACAGACACAAAAAAAAATAAAAAAACACACATCATTGTAAAATCAATACATTCATCGTTTCACTCAGAATCAAAAATAATTTAGTGCACTATTTAGAAGTGTTTTGGCATTTTTTAGTTTTATTAGAACATTAAAATCATCAATAATAATATATGATAATCAACCCAGAAAAAGCCAAGGGAGGGGCAACCACCCCTACTTGCCCTCCCCTTTCGAACGCCCTTGCACAAGTCGTTAAATAAAAAAGGAGTGAAAAACGAATACGATGAGAAACAAATTGGGTCCTACCTATAAAGAGCTCTATCTTCAAATCATAAAAAACTTATAGGTCGAAAAAATCTACACAGACGCCTCAAAAAGCCAAGCGGGAGTCGGTGCTTCGGTAATCTGGGATAACACACAACTTATATTTAAGCTACTTAATATAAGCTCAATTTTTACTGCGGAATAATTTGCAATACTCAAAAGTATTCAATTAGTCATAGACTCAAACATTCAAAAAACTACAATCTTCTCAGACTCTTTTAGCGCGATAAACAATATAATAAATGGGCACAACACAAATGAGATAAGCATACAGGTACAAAATTTGCTACAATTCGGAAGAGCAAAAGGAATCACTGTTCAGTTGTGCTGGATACCTGGTCATTGTGGTATCATCGGAAATGAGATGGCTGATAAGGCAACAAAAAATGCAATTGCTATCCACTCAGCAACAACAGTTCAACTTGTAACCAAACAAGACGTAGTACCCTTAATTAAACTTTATTGTACCAATATGTGGCAGATAAACTGGGATTTCGTTTGCACACAACTACACGAAATAAAACAGAATGTGCTCATATGGCCACATCCCACAAATCTTCCAAGAAAGTTCGAAGTCATCCTAACAAGACTCCGGATCGGGCACACTCAAATCACCCATAGTCATCTAATGAGTAAAAATGACAACACAATGTGTTATAATGATGTTATTATGTCATAATGATGGAATGTCGAACATACATCGAATCAAGATTGACCTCAAAACTTCCTGAACACCTCTCAGAATCACTCGGATACAACAGATCTTCACTAGCAGCCACCATCGAATTCATAATAAAAGCAAAACTTCAAAACAAACTGTAATAATAAGCTTCATTAAATAATCTCTGTATCCCAATGGCCTATGTGGCCGAGGGTAATTTTTTATTAATAAAAAAAAAAAAAAAAATTGTCCCTGCAGTATATGGTATGGGTAAAAATGAAATATATTATTTTAATTTGTTATAATTGCATACACGCTACATTTAAAGCGTTAAATATGTTTTTGGTATCACATAAGTTATGACTGAAATGAAATATTACAATTTATTCCATGTTTTTTTTATAGGGACATTGAATACATGTAACTTGGTTATACACACATGCTATCAAATCTGACATTTTTTTTGGACATAAATAATAAAAAGAGCGTCAAGTCCACAACACATTGTAGAAGATTTATGTCATCAGCAAAAAAAAAATGTTATACGGCTTATACTTAACTTTATAAATATATAATTACATTTTATTTATTTGAGTAAGTAAAATTGTTTTTACTGCTTGAAATTAATTGTAAAAAATAAATTGTCTTGTAAGTGTTTAAATTCAATTTTTTTTTATATTGTTCTTAATTAACATCGGTGGTATTGGCCATTTGTTTTTTTTTTTTTTGTTAAATTATTTTATACAATTTGGTTATATTTAAGAACTTTAAAAATTTGAGTGGTGGTGTCCAAATACTAGGTCTAGGGTGTTGGGTGGGTATGCTGAGACTGTTGAGTTCGTCTGGGTATTAGAAGCATTCTGTGATGAAAATTGGGTTGACTGAAAGTTTAGTTCCACGATTGAAAATTTAATTTTAATTAAGAACCTTTTATAGATATATTTAAAGATATAGTGAAATATTTATTTTTGGATTAGCCATGCCAATTTTACTAATTGGAAATCATTTTACATAAATATTTATATACTAATATGAATGATTGACTTATTAGGTACAAACGTTATAAGAAGTACGTTTCGACGACGAAATTTGACATTTATGAAAATAATTTATAAGTAGGTAAAAACTAACCTGCAAACATATTTTTCAGGCAAATATAAAATCGGCATTTGATATTCGATTAATTAACACATCAATGCTGCAGGGGTTTGAATAATTTATTATGGGTAATAACCCTTAGTTTGATAGATTTGTGATTACAAATACTAGTAGGTATTTTATGTGATGATAACATTTTACAATAATTGAATCAATGTTATTGTTTGGTTATAAAAATGATGCTTGATGCAGCTGTGTGTAAAGATATTAGTTACAGTGGCATATACATACTGGGGGTGTTTAACCCACCCCCCCCCCCCAGTGGTTATTTTTTTACTATATGAATAGATGTATACAAATTAATACAATTTAAAAAATATTTTGAATTACATATATTATTAATTAGAAATAGTATACACTTATATTTCTTTGTATATACCTACCCCTCTCAATTCAATTATAATATTTGTGTACGTCACTGGGTTTTTATATTAATACTTAGCTTATAAATAATATTAAAAAAAAAATAAATACAAATAATAAAATCTTATATTGCAAAAAAAAATATTTGAAACACTTGTTTTTGACTATTAATGCATATTATCTGTACGACTGTACAGTTGAATTGCATATTCTCTTACAAGATATCTGTTATTGCAGAACCCAGAGTCACATTATTGTTAGATGCCGCTTTCGGTCCTCAGTATTATTAATTTTGTTTAGTATAGGTACTACTGTACTTTAAAAAACGAAGATAAAGAAGAAGATACACGATATGAAGTATGAACTGATTGTTTCCAGCTCGTCTCACATCTTAGAAATAGTAAATACTTTATCATTATAAAATCAAGCCTTATACAGTCGAACACTCGAACTACTCGAAATCGTCGATACCAGGCCTTATTTTTATGTGCACCACGACACACAACGTGCACTACGAACGTACAACTGTGCACTACGATTTGAACGTCTGTGCACTAAGGTCTACAAAACAAAAATTAAATAATATACCAGCTACTAGGAATAATGAGTATTTCCTGATTTTTTTTTAAATTTAAATTATAATTAATTTTTATCAATTTTCAAACATTATTATCTGTTAAAATATTTGTTGTTGATAATAAAAAAAATTATAACGCTAGTAATGCTAAAAGGACAATATCTTAACGAACTCCGCCTGTTGGATAACATTTCGTGGTCAACCCCCCACACCCTCCAACCTTGTCGTGTCCAGTCCTGTATATATTATCTTAGTCCGTGGCTATAACCATAGACCTTAAACTTAAGTATAAGATCTATGGCTATAACCACGTTTAGTGTTTAGCGTTTTTACTTCTATCATGGCGTTTAGTATACAAAAAATCCTCGCCAAGTCAGGGATCGGCACGTAAACTTTCTTGATTTTTAATTTTTAGAAATTTATTAACTGATATCACACCCAAGCGGTATAACAATTTGAAACCAGAAAAATGTCGGTGTGAACAGCCTCACAAAAAAATCATTTTCATTTTCATTTAGTGAGATAGATCTCAGAAACCGGAGAGCGGATTTCGTTGTTTGAGTTTTTGTTAGATTCACATTGGTTAGGATAAGTGCAGTGACGATTTGCAGAATTTAAGAGGACGCTACACCCGCATGTGTTGTCTCCGTCTTACACACGTACGACATAGACAAAACGCGTTTAGGCAGTCTGAGTATAACTCGCTCAATTTTGGTTCTAGAGTAAAAATACCTATTATGAAATTGAATTGTGATAATATTTCTAAGGGCAAGATGCTGCGGTTTTTTTAAAAAATTTAATTTTTTAAAAGTCAAAGGTATTTTAAAAATGGTGAAATTTTTTCTATTTCTAAACGATATAATGAACGTTATATTGGGTATAATGGAAAAACCGCAGCGTCTTGCCCTTAGAAATATTATCACAATTCAATTTCATAATAGGCATTTTTACTCTAGAACCAAAATTTAGCGAGTTATACTCAGACTGCCTAAACGCGTTTTGTCTATGTCGTACGTGTGTAAGACGGAGACAACACATGTGGGTGTAGCGTCCTCTTAACTTTAATAGTTAATTCACTACAGAACATTAAAACAAATTAAAACAAATTTTTTTGGGGGTTTTTCGATGTTTTCATCTTTACAGCTTTGTAGTGAATTAACGATTGGAGATAAAGTTCTGAAAATCTTCACTGCACTTCTCCTAGCCAATGTGAATCTAACAAGACCCTAAACAACAAAATCCGTTCTCCAGTTTCGGAAATCTACATTGCTAAATGGAAATCTAGAGAAAATAACTCTTTTTTTTTATCTGGGAAAAATTAAATAATTTAAAAAATAAAAATTTAATTCCACATTTAGTGTCTACTTGATAATCCTTTTTTAATGAGTTATTAACCAACTTTCTAGCTAGGTATCATAGTTTAGGATAAAAGTTAAAAAATAGAAATTTTGGGACTGTTCACGCCAACGTTTTTGTGGATTCAATAGTGGTTATACGCTTGGATGTGATATCAAATCTCTCATTAATATTTTATATTAAAGCTAGCTAAATTACTTAATTACCCACCTACTCATCATTACTGAGTTACATTTTTATTATTTTATTATTTAACACAAATTCTTGAAGTTTTCAAAATCCAGACTTTTTTCATTTCAATTACCATACTTACTTGATTAAAAATCAAGAAATTAATATTCATTGTTATAACTTTAATTATTAAAAAGTTAATTTAAGGTTTTTATTATTAGGTATATGCTATTTAATTTTTATGGTTTTTATTAAAAGATAAGTATTTTGTTGTTTTATTGAATTGCATTGTTAAATTATTACATACATATACTATATAATATATATGTATGTGTAATACATTCCTTTTTCTAAGACGGTAGAAAGAATTAAATGAAACGTGCAGTCCGAAATTTTACAAATAATAGGGCATGGTCGATACCTAAGTCGAACTTTTTCCCCGGTCCCTAGAATATCCTATAATTTCAGTATTATCCTCAGATGACTCGAGTTCTTGAATAACTCGAACTTTATGGCCCGTATCTTCAACTTCGAGTTAACCACGTTCGAATGTATTATAACTTAAATTTCAACAGTATATATAATATCATCTGTTATAAACTATAACTGTTATTAATTTTATTATAAGAGATATCCTGTACCAATGCAGTACGAAAAAATACATCACAAACGCCAATTAGTTTTATATTCGTTCCGTTTATATTTATTATATAATGTTATATACCCGATCTACCCCTGGATTAATACTCGCAATAACGCTTATCGTGGGTACTCAGTTTTATGAATATAATTATTATATTGCATCGTATAGGTATATAGGTATAGGCATAGGTGCGTAAGTACAATTGAAAGGTGAACCACGTTTTCTTATCATTGCAGCCGTAGCTGTAATTGTGTTTACATTCTAACCCTTAATACAGCTGTATGTGCTCAATACTGTATGTATTTGAATTTAACGAGTAAGTGTGAATATATCATTGTATACAATATTATAGAGTATAAGCGTACGTGGCAATCGAATCCCTTAAATAATTTACGAAAAACGTACTAAAGGGTCGACTTGCAGGCACATGTGTTGATTTACGCTTTCACGTTAATTTCACAGTACCTACCTATACCTACTACCTTGCTACCTATATACGATAGACTAAACTGCAAATCAGTATGTGTATTTGAAAATCTAGCCAGTAAATTCATTTATTGTGATGTAAGTATTTTCATATTTTTAATTTTACGAAATGTCAGCAATGGAATTTCAAAAAATTTAGATACATGATTTATATTTGTATACACATTTTAAGAACATTTTTATTGAAACGTTTCAATTTGGTTTTCTACCTACTGGTACATTGATTGTAGACCATCAGATTTAATCTCTAGATATAAATATAGA